ATATATATATATATATATAAAACACCAAGGATGACAAGGATTCTAGGTACTAAACCTAAATTTTGACAAGTATTACTTTAGCAATGAACGTTGTACTTTCCTTGATGTGTTTTATAGCCTGTACGATTCCGATTAAATCACGCTAGCACTACTGGGAAACCTGCCGCCGAGCGAGAATTCAGTATTTGGGTAGGCGATCTATCCACCGACGTAGACGATTATTCCTTATACAGGGCATTTGCTGCGAAGTATAATTCAATCAGAACGGCTAAAGTTATATTGGATAGCTCTGGATTCAGCAAGGGATATGGATTTGTCAGGTTTGCCAATGAGGAAGAACAGAAAAACAGTCTAATTACTATGAATGGTTACAGAGGACTTGGAACAAAATCTTTGAAAATCTGCAATGCAGTGCCTAGACCTTGGAACAAAATATCGGGGTATGTTATTTGTATTAATTGTACATTAAAAAATATAAATAATATGTTTATAAAAAGTATAAATTCTTTTGTCCGGTTGTGATTTTGAACAAAATATTCGCGTTCATTATACTGTAGAGAAAAATTATCTATAATATTTAATTAATAATTTTACAGTTCATTTTAAATTAATGATTTTAGTTCAACACCACCGCAATCAACTTCTGAATATCCAGCATCAAACATGAACTCAGAAGCATATAATTATTATGATACATCATCATACTGGAATAGTTACAGCGCTTGGCAACAAGGTTACTATGAAAGCGAGCCGACGTCAGATACTTACAATAGCTATGTATCTGATCAAAAACCTGAGGAAGACGAATTAGAATTAATCGGTATATTATTATGATAATATAAGGAAATAAACATATATTACATGTTCTTCAACATGTTCTTAATTATGCTAGTCTAATATTTTATATTTTCTTTTTTTTTTTTACAGAGCATTCAATCCCCATTGACATCGATAAGGTGAACAGAGAAATAATTGAACAAGATTACAATTTATGGGATGCTTTGGAAAGCTCAAAATGGATTCCTTGTGATACTATAGAATTATGCTATTAATGATTAAATTAAAAAATAAGACCTCAAAATATATATTATCATTATTGTCATTATCACTTATCACATAAATGCAACAAAAATAAAAATTTTATTTTATGCAAAAATGCCAAAAATAAATGTTGCGTAATCTTTTAAATATAAAAGGATACATTTTATCAATTATGATACTGAAGATAATAAAACCATCTTTCCGTATATAATATGTGCAATTTTTATTGCAAAAATAAATAAATGCATTTCAATTGCTCAATGTTACATGCGGTTTATATATTCTGCAGCTTTAATATTATTTAAGTCATTTAATATTCGCTGATATAATTTTACAAAAAATACTTATGGCAGTATTTTTAATGCTGATAATTATCATACACTATGCTTTAACCACTACATATTCGTGGTTAAAGTGTTTACGTACATTCTGATATTTTTTTTTGCAAGAGAATCGAATTTTTATTTTCATACTGATTTATTCAATACTAGTGATTGTATGTAAATGCAAGTATTGTATACAGTATATTACGTATTGTATGTATATGTATATATATATATATAAAAGTATATATATATACATACACAACCCTGGTATTTTTATAATTAGAAATAAAATGAATTATGTATTCAAGAATAGCATCTGAACAATATATTTTTTGTATATTATTTCTCGCTCTACAAAATTATTCAATGCACAAATTGAACGGCAAAATAAATACGCATATACAAAATTCCGCTATCGCTTTCTGATAAAAAAATTAAAAAAGTAAATTACACGACTCGTTTTGCACATATGTTAATCAAGCCTTATCATATTTAACATCT